GGAAGAAACAAATTTTTGAAAAAAAATCGTAACACAAATATTAATGAACAGTGTTTGTTATTAAAGTTAATAAATCAACACTGAATATATTTTGATAACATAACGTAGAACTGCGTAAATGCAGGATGATGAAGTAGAATTTTTATATCTCCTAAAAGGCGTTTTCCCAGATTTTAACTCTCACGGTTGAAGAATTAGGAATACTTTTGTTCACTGTCAAATGTAGAAGAAAAATAAAAATATATATTTTTTCGCAACACATTCAAGCTTAAAAGAGATAGAAGGAAAAGAACAGTCTTAAGAGGAACTCAAAAAGTCTGTGGATTTAGAAAGAAAGAATTTTCACAAATAGGCTAAAAGTATAAAAAGATCCCCCAAAAAAAGGAACATTTTTTTATGCTTTTATACGAAAATATGTGAAATAAAATATTGAATATAACTTATAAGAATCAATTGGTTATAATGTTAATTTTTCAGATCTAATGTTCATTTTATATAAATATTATCTTAAAATGTGGTGCAAGAATTTTTTATAAAATATGTAAAGAAAGGAAAAGTCTGCGGTAATTTTTTATCACCGTCATTGAACAGCCCACCCAACTTTTAGTTTACGACTACTAATGTACAACTTCATAGCCTTGTAATTTTGAACCCGATCCAGAAGACAAGTGAACTCCTGGATAAATTATTGCGAGATTTCATGGAAGACTTTTTTGATAGAACTAATCCTCATTTGAGTTACATGGGGATGCAAGGGGACACTTACCCATGATCCAACAACCACGGAGGATATTTAACATCTGCATTGTGGTCGGTGCGAGTCGGGTGAGGAATTTGTACCGAAGTCTGCGGTTATTGTTATTCGAAAACCAAAAATTTTCTTTGTTGTTATATTAAATACTTTTATTTCATATGTTTGTGTCTGAGGATGTACAAAGCCTTGTACAAAAGTTGCACTTTATATTTTTTCAATATTTTCTCATCTTTGTAAATTTGGTACTTTACAAGTAAAACTTGATATGAGATCAGATGTATACTTGATATGAGTCACCGATCCTTATGCCATCCACGATGATCACATTGATTATAAAAAAATAATTAAATAGTCAAGAACATGCAATAAAATCTTAAACAGAACCATCTGCTGTTTTATTTATAATAGCCAATTCTAAACTAATGCGAAAAAATCTCGTTTCGGAGGGATCTCTAGAAATTAAAAAAAAAACGACTAAGAAAGAAGATAAGTGATAGTTTTTTTTATTTATTACTTCTTGCAATCGATGTCCAAATTTCAAGGCCCCAGCACAAATAGTTTTGGAATTATAAAAGATTCAACATAGAACTCCGACACCAAAAGCAAATGAAAATACTGAGTTAAGACAAAAGAGAAGTTGGAAAAAATATTAATACAAGAAAATAAAAAAAGTTGAAATATGTAAGAGAAGGACTTCTGAGATTTGTTTTTCAAAGAAAAAAAAGTGTAAACTGCATCAATATTGTACAAGCACGGCTTTTAAGATAAAATATATTGTAAAGGGTCCTTTTTTGATAAAATAACATGAGAAATCTCCGTTTTTAGGGTAAAATATTTCGAGAAGGGTCTGTTCTTTTCATACATTGTACATTGTGAAGGCTCTCCTTCACGATAAAATAATTAGTGAAGAGTCCGTTTCGCGATAAAATATTTTGCGAAGAATCTGTTTTTATGATAAAATATTTCGAGAAGGGTCCGTTCTTATTATAAAGTATATTGTAAAGGTTCTCTTTCACGATAAAATAATTAGTGAAGAGTCCGTTTTACGATAAAATATTTTGCGCAGAATCCGTTCTTATGATAAAATATTTCGAGAAGGGTCCGTTCTTTTTATAAAGTACATTGTGAAGGTTCTCTTTCACGATAAAATAATTAGTGAAGAGTCCGTTTTATGATAAAATATTTTGCAAAAAATCCGTTTTTATGATAAAATATTTCGAGAAGGGTTCGTGTTACGGAAAAAATATTTTGTGCTGAGTCCTTATTAGTACGAAATATTTTATGAAGGATGAGTGTTATAATAAAAAATACTTTGTGCAGGGTCCCTGCTAGGATAAAATATTTTGTGAAGGGTCCAATTTCACAACAAAATAACTTGAGAAAAAAGATGTAACGAATTTCTTCTAAACAGAACCCTTATTGCATTTCAAATTATACACATATTTCTAATCATTGTAATCTCCATAACAGGCAATTATATTATTACATAATTACTCACTCCAAATTAATTCGTATTCAATACCCCTCATGATTTAACTGTTACCACTAACTATTAGACAATAATGCAAATTTCTGGCAAAAATATCTCACAAAATTTTAGCACGATATTGTATTATTGCACCATATTTTTTATTATACATTCCTGACGAAAATGTTTTAATCTGGAATTTGTTATGTTAAGGAATATAGATTTAGTTATATAAATATATAAAATGTTAATTATCGCCCAGGTAGGAGTAGATAATGCTTCAGTAGGCAATAAACTATACTTTCAAAGATCTTAGTCAGAGTTTACTTTAAAAAACATTAGTTTAAAGTATCTATATCACTTCTTCTGTATATTAGAAATTCCTGACGCAATTTTAGAAAAATATGCTAGAAAGTTTTGAAAACTACTATAAAAATTAAAATTAAAAAAAAAACAATATGTTGAGCAGTGAAGTTTTTCTCTTTAAATTTTTTTCTAAGTTACAAAAATAGAAAAACTATGTTTAAAGTTGTATTTTACCGGTAATAATTAAACTTCTTATGATAAGGGAAAATTGAATAGAAAGTGGAAGGTTGAAAAATAGGGTTTACAAGAAAAAATGTAATTGAAGTCAGCAGTTAATTGAGGTTCCAAATTACATTTCCAACTTTGATGCTCAATAACACCTAAAGTAAATTAATATTTAAGTAATATAACTGGAATTTGGCAACAAGTTAAATTTCTGTGGAGGAAAAAGAGAACTTTCTGTTTACACATTGATACATATTTCATATTTTTTATAGCATGCCCTGAAATATTTCTGTAGTTTTGTGTCACGTATCTCTGCCGATTTCTGGATTCTATCTCGTATCTACACACGGTCGTCTATTTCTATGGCACGTGGCTAGATCCTATGCAGTTTGACACATGAAAAAATCATACATGCAGTTTAAAGTATGATATTAAAAAACCATGTTTGAATTTAATAAAATGTAAACTGCCGCATATCATATAAATTTTTAAATTATTGAACTGTAAGAATTGATTCCCACGTATTCAGGAAACATTAAGTATTTTTAAAGCAAATTGTCCCACATACGAATGGTTCGTTTCTATTTTATATTTTCTTTCAATAAAAAATGTTTATTTCGTTATAAAAATATCACAAAGAATATTATTGAAATAATTTTAATAAGTTTATAAATCAATGGCACACAAATAACACTTACTAAAATATCTATTAGCATACCAAAAACATTTATTTTACTAAGAAAGGTAAGCAATTACATTACATAATTTCAAATTGAACCGTAAAAAAAATAAGACTTTTAAGTTGACCATCTGTCTAGATTGACCACTTTTAGTAAGAATTGAATTTATCTTATGAACTAAAAGAGAGCAAAACATTTGCATCCAAAACATCGATATATTTTGTAAGTTGACGTCCAAAATAAATCATGTTTAATGCTATTCCAAAACATAATTTATTTCATAAGTGCATTTTACTTCGTATTTTAATGACAAGTAAGTAACTTTCTAGGAAATTTCCTATGTTTTAATGATACTTATTAAAATTTCACTGAATTGATAAAATCGTATTGAGAGCAAACCTGAATAGGATTGCAAGTTGACCATATGAGTAAACTATTAACGTACATAATAACGTATGTCACTTATGTTATTCATACTGTTAAGTAAGAAAAATGACTTGCATGCCATTGTAATTTGATCACAAAGAAATTGCACCGCAAATGGTCAACTTATACTGATTTTTCTGTATCTATCACATAAATATAAAAATGTCAACATATTTCAAAGTTTAACAAAAACTATTATGTTGATTAATGTCAATTTATAAAATGCTTAAAACTACACAAAAAAATTTCAAATCTTGTTATGTTTAACCATGCGAGGACTAGAAATAGAAAACAATTTAAACACCAAAAAATTCGAAAATCTTTTTTTTTTGTTGGAAAATGTCCTAAAGACCAAACTAAACAAAGTGGAGAACACCTAAAGTGCAAACTCCAGTAGATATAGTTCAGAACTTTGTCAAAAGGTCGCGTTGGTTGAATGTGCCATGCGCAGTAGAGAGGAGAAAATTCTAAATACCATCAGCGTTCATTGATAAGACGCATGGAATTTCGCTCACGTACGATAAAAATAACACGATAAAATTAATGACAATAACGATAAAAATGACGAATAATTTCATATAAAAAGAAAACAAGAACATTATGAATCTGATTAAGAACTAAACGTAAAGTGTTGTTGGCCACGAACCCGAGGAAGTGATGTGTAGAACGCCCTAAGTACCAGATGCGAGTATTAATTTTTCGAATCTCTTGAATTTTTTGCTTATTTTTTCGACTTAGATGCCATTAGCGCTAAAGTGATAAGACGCTTGGAATTTTGCTCACTTTCAATAAAAATAACACGATAACATTATCGAATAATTTAAGATAAAAATAATACGAACATCAAGAATTTGATTAAAAATTACACATACGTAAGTAAGATTAATATATATGTAAGTTGTTGTTGGCTATGAACCCGAAGGAGGGTCGAGTAGAACTCCCTAAGTACCCTAGGAGCGAGTATTAATTTTTCGGCTGAAAAAATTGAACTTGCGTCGTTTTCCATTTCTAGCCCTCATAATAATAATCAATTATATCCTCATAATAATAACCTCATAAATAAATAATGATATCCTCATAATAATAACCTCACTATAATATAATAAAATCAATTTTTAAATGATTTTAAAACATTACTTACCTCAATATCACTCTCAAAGTCAAAATTTTCGTACTCGTCGTCCGATAAGTCAAAACTGACCATACGTGCCCTCCTTGGGGGAGGAGGTGATACAAGCCTGTCACTGAAGGCTTTTCTATAGATGCCTGAATATCTAGGGGGTGCACTTCGGGGCAGCAAACTACTATCTAGGCTGCTACCCCTACGTGCTGTGGTAGATGATGAACCATAGGATGATTGACGAATCAAGTTCAAACGTTCACAACTTGCACGATAAGTCATCACGCTTAGCTTCATCACTACTCGTCAGTTTTATGAACCAAATGCGCTTGAAAGAAGTATTTTGCTTAAAAGTCTTTAATCAAAACGCTGAAGCAATTTTTAGTTCGTAGTGAAAAACTGAAGTTTACTTATCTTCCTTGTGCCAACACTTTGCGTGTGATGAAATCGTATATCCAAAATGAAAGTAATCAACGAGCGTTTTGAAGCACTTGTCTATATCCAAGTTTAATGTTCTGAGACGTGTTCTATTATAACTATTAGAACATGTAATGAAGTTGTATATCCAAAACGAAAGTAATCAACGAGCGTTTTGAAACATTTCTTTTTATCCAGGATTCATGTTCTGCATAGGGGGATGGTTATAAATTTTACAGAATTCTATACCATATGTCTTAGCATGTATAATAGAACCCTATATCCAAAACGAAAATGATCGAGGTATAATTTTTATGCAGGCTTTTTCTTCTAAGAAGTGCTTGTAAATAAGTTTAGAGAATTATACACCATAACTCTTAGTACGTGTGATAAAAGCGTATATTAAAAAAGAAAGTAATCAACGAGTTATGTTCTGAGAAGAGATTGTAATTAAGATTACTGCATTCTACAAGCCAACTATTTGAACGTATCATAAGACTGTATATCCAAAACAAAAGTAATCAGCGAGTAAATTTTGCTGTTATCCAGATTTATGTTCTGAGAAATAATGGTGACTTAGTTTTCATATTTCTATACCATATCTCTTAGTATATTCAATGAGTATATCCAATCTACAAGTATATCCAAAAGGAAATTCGTCGAAAAGTTTTTTAAAACACTTTGAATAATATATGCTTTAATGTAATGTTTGGTTAGATGTTCAGATGTTACTTAACTCCAAAATAGGCTGCGTTAATATAAAAACTTTAATGAAGCCTGTTTCCATGCAAAGAAGCTTAATGCAGCTTGTTTTATGTATATTTTACATTCAGTAAAGCTCATTCACAAAATAGTTTATAACAAAACTAATTCATTAGCACAATCTATTTCATATACTTAAATCGTTCACAACGTAGCACCTTAACTATGTCTGATATGCCAAAGGATATTTTATAGATATGTATGGGTTACCTACTGATATAAAGAATGTTATATAAATCGAATTATTATTATATGTATATACAGATATTAAATAATTAGTATTCTGCACACAATGCTCCGAAATAGATAAATATAGCTGGAATTAAGCAAGCAATTTAAATGTATAAAGATTTAATTATTTATCAGATTTATAGTATCCTCCATTTTTGTATTTATTTATTTATTGCTATTTTTTCCTTGGTAACAGATTTTTATTAGTTTTCCTCACTCATTTAGCAAAACCAGTTCTATTAAGCTCCTTTTATTGTTTTGTCAGTTGTTTTAAAATTATTTATAAGTTTTTGAACATTTATTTAAGTCTCAAAACAATATTTTCTTTTAATTGTTTTAAGAGCGTTATTCTAAAATTTAAATGCATCATAAATTTCACTATAGTTAAAAAATATCCAATCCGAAAATTATATATGTATTTTCAGATATTTTCATTTCTAATTAAATTATGAAATTGAGGAATAAATATCAAATTATTTTAAACCAATATTTAAAATGCACGTATTGTTTTTATTTTATTATTAAATGGTAAATATCATGCATTAAAAATTATTACACTAACATGAAATTCCTAAAGCAATATTTTTGCTAAAGAAAAATTATAGTTATAAGAATTCAAGCCAACTCTTTATGTAATATGTTAGCATATAAATGATTATTTTTCTCAAAATATCTGTTTACTTTTATATATTATTTGATTATTTATATGCATACATTTTATTTATAAATTTACGTTCACTAAGTATAATAATCTAGCCAGCAAAATTATATTTTAATCTAAAAGCGTACAACTTATTATGTTTGTAAAGTACGGAGAAACTAATGATATTCTCATTGCATACATTTTAACAGGTTTTAGTCTACCTATTCCCTAAGTGCATTATTGCGTATCAGTGCAAATTATTTAAACAAATTTTTCTAATAATATTTATTTACTATTGATTACTATTTAACTATTTATATATTAAATAGTAGAAGTTTAGTATTAATTTTTATATTCTAACAAATTATATAATAATAAAAAATTCGCCAATGAACAAAAAAATTGAGATTTTGGCAGCGCAGATGGCCGTATTTCTTACTTTAAAAAGTTTTTAATGAAGTAAAGAAAGTGAAAGAAAATCGAACAAAAATATCCTTGCCTTGCACAATTATTTTTTCCTTGTAGGAGAATGTGTATTAATCCCATTTCCACTGAAAGGCTTCACGTATTATCCAAAACTGGACCACTTGGCGAACTTTTTTGAACGAACTGTCAAGACATGCGTGCTTTTCGGCAGCACTGGAAGAAGTGGGGAACTTCTCTCTGGGTGAGAGAGAGGAAACGGCGCTTAGACGGTTTTTGGGGATGGTTGGGGGCGTGATGGAGAATTGGGAGAACTAGGGGGGAAGTCGTATCGACCCATGAAGGTATATAAGAGATTCACCTTGTCAGTGGGCAGTCAGTTTTTTTCATATGAGTATTATCAGTTCGAGTTCTTTTCAATAAAGATATCACAGCAGCAGGTGACAGTAGAAGAAACAATCGCCAATATTTTTTTTTCAATGTTTAGAACATCGGTGAAAATGAAAAAAGATATATAGATAGATAAAATTTCGCTTTTGATTTTGATATTTTCCAGTTTCAAAGATTACATTTAAGTTTCAAAATTAATTTTGAAATTTATTAAGATTCAAAAAATTTTTTAAAGAAAATTCTTTCCTTTTCGTTTTTTAATTTTGAAAAGGTTTCATAGGATTGAAATTGTAGTTTTTGCCACCCTTGGAGAAATTCAATTCACTTTTTTAACAGAAGGTTTATAATTTAAAAAAAAAGAAAATGAGGTTTCCTGAAGGATTCGAATAAAATATAACAATTTATAAATCAAAAGTATTTCTCAGGTATATTTCAAACTCCAAAAAAAAAAACACCACATTTTTAGGACTGTAAAAACGAATCCTTTTTTTCAACTTACTGCAAAACTTTCAATTGTTGTAACAGATTCTTGAAGCATATTTTAGCAACAGAGTTTGCAGCTTCTGGAACGTTAGAATAAAGAAGTGGAATTAATTTGAAATTTCTTATCTCTTGATTTTTTTCATTACATTTCAGTTTAAAATTAATTATGGTACTGAAGACTTAAAAAGTAACATAAAAGAAAATTATTTTTTAAATTTGTTTTTAATTTGAAAATGGCTTAATTTATTAAAATTTTAATTTTCCTGCACTCGGAACGAATTAATTCACTTCTCTTTCTGATATATATATATATATANACAATAACGGAGAATTTGTTATCATTAACCAGTGCTAATATCATAACTTTGAATTTTTAACATATCTCTAAAAAAATATATATATATATATATATATATTCTTTGCACTTGTAAAAAATTTTTGGATCTTTAATTTGGAAATGCTTGGATTGCATTTATCACAAAAAGCATTTACAACAACACTAACAGAGCATAAGAGCTTGGAAGTTCATTTAACTTTAACCTGGACTTGTATTTCTAAATAGTTTAGATTAATTTTTGATGTTATATTTTTTAATATTTTCAATTTTTTTAATTATTTGCAACAGCCAAAGTTATTAGTATTTTATTCATGTTAAGTATTGACGTAAGGAAGTACCCAAATGTGAATCAAAGTTATTAGCGTTATTCAGAATACTGCTCCAGTTAATTTTCATATTTTAATACAACAACAAAATTTGCCATCTTATATGCCAGACTTGAGCCAAATAAATTTTTCTGTCTGAAACACTAAATCCGACAAGGTTCGTGCTGAACCTCATAAGAATTTGGTCTACCGAAAATAATATATTACAATTTATAAATTTACAATCTGTAAACCTACGTTTGTTGTGATATATTAGTAAACATTAAAACTAACCTGTTACATAACTGTTTTGAAATAGGTTAGTGACTGTTACAAAACATACCTAACCTAAAATATAAAACTAACCTATTACATAACTGCTGCAAAATTATTTCAAGTAACCTATTATACATATATTTTTTTCATTTTAAATAAACATTACATCCAAACCCTTTCATTAATGTAATTTTACCGTTTTATCCAAATTGTATGAATTGATAATTTTAAATTTATTACAGTATGCCTTCAAGAGCAGCATAGGTTCTTTTAAATTTAAAACAAAATCCTAATATTTTGAAACATTTAAAGAGCTTTCTTTAAATGTAATGATATAAAAAATTCTATTAGTGTATTGTAAAAACATTGCACTGCACAGAGAAATGGATTTGAAATGCAGCAAAAAACTCATTCTACGCTGTCTAATTTTTACATAAAATTATTCCTTTTTTCAGGGTGAGTAGTCAAATCTTTTTACAAAAATAAGCACATTTCAAGTACTTTTAAGCACTATATACATTAACAAAATGCAAAATAATTTTCAAAGACTTTACATGATCATGATAAAATAACTAGTTTTTGACTAAGAACTATTTTCTTGATTATATTAGCCACCATTGGATGGAGAGATTTTTTGGTTCGACTTCAGAGGGTGGATAATGAAACCTGAAATTGAGAATATCGAGCAAAATGCAGCAGAGTTGCACATGAGAGTGATATACTCTCACTGAATTCAGCTCAGTAGACGCACATGGGGACTCGCAAGTATTTCATCAAACATGTAAAATGATTTTCGCTTTCATACGCTTTGGGCCGATGGTAGACCGAAATGGATAGTGGTTGAATGGATTGTGAAAAAGTAGAATAGAACAATGTGAAAATCATGCTTTTGCATAATACGTGGCGAAAATAGACATGGTTAAAAAAAAGATCTAATTTTCGAAAAGGAAAAATTAAGCACTTTTTAAAAACACCCAATTAAAAAAGCACCTTTAAGGATTTTTAAAAAACGAAAATGGAAAATAAACACCTTTAAGCACTTTTTAAAAACGCAACTCACCTTGTTTTACAAAACACTAGACATTCATACCATATTATTAAGTAGACATCAAATACTACATATGATCGATATTTTTTAGAACACTTCTCAGATCGCTTATGTGTGATTTAAAAATATCTCTGTGTATTTTGTAAAATACACTTTAAATAAAAGAAAGGAGAGTAAATGAATGAGAATTGCAGGTAGATACGGCAAATAATTACACAATTTCATCCTTGAGAGTAATTGAGCAAATAAGTACTTGAAAATGCCGTAAACTGGAGAGATTTTTAAATGGACGACTAACAGACGAGATAAAAGGGAAATATATACTCGCTCTTTAATTACTCTGTTTTAATTTATTTGTCGCTGGCAATATAATCTGTCTTTTGAATTAAGAAAAAATATTCTCGTAATTATTATACCTTATCGCTTTCTCGTACTTTTAAATTAATTTTTACTAATTGGAGTGGTTTTCGTTATGAAAGGAACATTTTATGCGGAGACTACTTTTATAATCTTTGATTTAAGTTTTATTTGAAAAGTTTTTTTAAAGAAATGCTTTTTTGTCTTTGTTAGACAGTTTTTTCTATAGTTTAGGAACAAATTGTTAATGAAACTGTATCATTAGGTTTAATACAAACTCCAAACTAAAAAAAAAATTATTGTAACTTACGCTTGAGTACTATAAAAGTATGTACGCATGAGTACTTTTAAGCGTAAGCACTATGAAACATATATACACTCAATTGCTTCCGATTTATAATTATCTTTCAATTTCAATATGCAAATGCCAGGTTATATTTCCTACTTTAATTTTTATTAATATAATTTTTTGATCGTGTCATAACAACAAAATAGTTTTTTTTTGGCACTTATTGATTATACGGTCGTAGTAAAAACGCCAAGTTCTGTTTTGCACAGGTCATAGGCTACAGATTATGTGCATAGTTGTACAAATGGGACACTATCGTAAAGATTATTGATAAATACAATTATTGAATTCGCTGATAATCGATAGCATATCAAAAAGATAATATCGTGAATTATACATTGAGATATAAAAATGTGTA